TGTTTTTTCAGATTCACGAAAAAACTAAAAATTAGGTAGTTATAGGCAAAAAACGAAAAAGTCATGGTTTTCTTTTTCGGCCAAAAGTAAGTTTTCAACTAACTTTCATCCAAAAACTTAGTTGAAAATGATGAACTCTAAGATACGCAACTTTGCCCCCATTTAACCATTTCTGTATCTCTTATGGTTTCTGAGATCCCAATGGTCGAATTTGAATTACCCTGTATACAAAATTGCTTAGTTTAGTCGGTAGAGGGCCTTGAAAATTCATGATGAATCAAAGATAAAACGCAAAACGAAAAATACGACTACCGCTGTCAAGTTTAAGTGACAAATTGTTTTTGTTTTTAAAATTAATTATAATTAATTGTTTTTTTAATAGTTGGCTAGGTATACCTAGCCAACTATTAAAAAAACAGGTTTTTAGTTACCTTGCATCAATCATTCGCGCTTGTGAGGATTTACAAAATAATTTTTATGGTTAAACCGTTCACCCAACTGAAATTTTGTAATAGAGAAAATAATTTCTAAATTAAAGTAATTATTCAGAAAAAAAATGGTAGTGTTTATACAGGGGGTTAAAAAGATATGGATGCATAATTTATTGTTGCAAAGTTTTTAAACACCCTATAGTTTTCGAAATTAGAGTTTATTCCACAAAGAGCTGTAGTCTACTGATACAAATGCATGACCAAAAAATGAATAAAATCCATCGAGGATGTCTGCAGCCGAGGTGATACAATATGGTGACCTACTTGTAAAATGTGTACTTCGACCATTCTTATCATTTACATTGATTGATTATTAAATAATATTACATTATGAAAAACTACAGATCTGGTTTCTTTGTAGTGGATAAACTTTGGCACAATGACAGGATGGTTAATGTGTCTTCATTTACCGCATATTCCTTTATTTATTGGTGTCCAGGTTATTAAAATCTTCCTGAGTCTTTAGTCATGACAATTGGCACTCTCTGTTTGGTTCTCTCCTGTATCACACAATATCGTATGTTCCAAAGTGTCTAAACAAAGCAGGTTAAGTTTTCATTAAAGATTCTTAAAAATTTCTACAATTTGCTTATTTAGGAAAATTTTTTGCTTAAGTCATGGTGTGTAATCTTACTACTATAAAAATGTAGACAGAGATTTAGTATCCTTACAATCCACTGGATGACGTTGTAGTCTGAATTTTCAGCAATCTGCATTATCTACACAAACAAAGCGCTTGTAACCATAGAAAAATTTATATGTAACGTCAAACTCAGAGGTGAAAGCTAACGTCACATTTTTGTTTAGTCATTTGGTGTGATAACTGGCGATAACCCCGTTCTATAAGCAAATTTTCTTCCTTACTTTCTTTTGGCTTAGTGTTTTATATCCTTTAGTTAAGTGTTTAAATAAGTTTAATCTTTTGTCACCTCCTGATAAGTTTATCCGATAGATAAATTGGCGCTCTAAGGTCCATTACTACCATCTTTTAGATAAATTTATATTATAGATAAACCCATTTACTAGCCAATCAGAGCGCGTAAAATAGCCGTAACCGTGGTAATAATCCCTAAGATAGCTTAACCAGAAGATGGTAGTAACGAGCCTTAGGTCCATTACTACCATCTTTTAGATAAATTTATCTTATAGATAAACCCATCTACTAGCCAATCAGAGCGCGTAAAATAACCGTAACCGTGGTAATAATCCCTTAGATAGCTTAACCAGAAGATGGTAGTAACGAGCCTTAGGTCCATTACTACCATCTTTTAGTTAAATGTATCTTATAGATAAACCCATCTACTACCCAATCAGAGCGCGCAAAATAGCCGTAACCGTGGTAATAATCCCTTAGATAGCTTAACCAGAAGATGGTAGTAATGAGCCTTAGCCAATAAGAGCAATATATGTTAAAAATTATGAATTTTATCTTAGAAAAACTTTAAATTCATACTTTTTCCATTTATTTGGGAAATGCACTTGATCTCTTCAAAATAAAGTATTGATATAAACCGGTATAGAAATAGCTACATTTAAATTTCACGCTTTAACCTAATTATAGTTCCCTCACAATTCCCTTGGGAGCGCTGAATGTACCAAAAAATAGTGGGGAGATGACCTTCTATATATATAATATATATACATTTTTCTATGGTTTAAGTGAAGAGAACCAATCAGAACAACATTATAATGAAAACAGCTCATTGGTTGGCTGTGATACAGACGAAATAATTGATACAATTATTGAATCAACTATACCAAAAAACACTGTTAACAGTAAAAAAAATTTATGGAAAGCATTTATGGACTTTTGTAACGTCAGAAAATATGAAATTAGTTAATTATTATTAATATGATATTAGATGGAAATCGCACGATGGATGAACTATCATTGATTTTAAAGGATTGGGCTGTAAATATGAGAAAACAAAATGGTACAAGGTTTAACGAAGCTACGGTCAAAACCATGTGGACCGTGACGAGTAAACAAAACCAGTAAAGTCGCGGTAGAATTAGCTTGGTGAGGTGGAGAAGCTTCTGCTTGCATGACTGACTTTTCATATCGAAACAAATAACGGTGGTTTTGAAACAAACCGGGTTGAATATAACCCTGTTTTCAGTAAGACTTGTCAAGGTAGTTCGAAAATATGTACAGAAAGCAACTTTTTAGTAGAAAATAGTGACAGCAACGTCTGTAAAGTCAGATTATTGAAAAAATTAATGTCAAAAAGGGGTCCAAATGTTAAAACCAACAGACCAAATCGTCACTGGAAAGCAGAAAATGATCAGTGGTAGGCTCTTCCACATCCAGATCGGTTTTTATGACAGTCATAAATAAAAGCCGGGGTGATTTTTGCCCGCTCTAGTACCTGAAAAGATTTATAACAGTCAGACAAAGACAGGGTCGACCTTAAATTTTTTTAAACTAAAATTTACTAAAATTACTAAACTAAAATTTAATAAAAAACCAAAGTTTAGTTATAACATAACAACTAAAATTTAATTATAAAAACTAGTATAAAAGTCTTAGAAAAAAATACTACTTTTAGGAATGTCTAAATAATAGAATAACAAAACTTTAAACAATCTAATTATCAAATGCCTTCTCAAAACATTTCAAGCTTTCTAAGAGAGGAATAAGCTTCATCAAATGTAGGTACAGTGATAAGTATTTCGTTTTCAAGATTATCATTACCCTCATCTGATTCTGAAACAATCCCGTAAGATAGGGTTGTTTGGACACGTTTTCTGCGCATTTTTCAAGATTAAAAGTGAAGAAATAAAGTTAGGGCAACAGAAACTTGTTCATCATACCAACCTAACCTTCAGGATTATATAGCTATCATAAAACATTGAAAATATCTTATACAAATAGCCCCGTTGTTAGGGCTTCTTGGACACTAAACTTCGGTTTAGGGACAATCTCTTACTTTGCATGTCAGATGGTCAAGTTCCCCTGAAAATATAATTGAAGCATTAAGGAATGTATTTTTATTGATGTTTGACGCTATTCTGATGGACAGATTGTTTCTAGCGATAAAAGAATTGATGAAATCTGGACCTGGACTGTTGTTCTTGAAGACCTTGACCTCCTTCCTTTGTTTATCTAGGTATTTTTTCACCACATCTCCAATGTCGGCCTTTGTTAAGGGGAACCCCCAATTAGCAACAACAGCTAAAGTTTCAGAAATTAACAGCTCCTCGGACTTGCTTAAAACAGTCGAATGTCCAACGGGTCTTGAATTCCTTCCAAGCATTTTCCGTACTAATGTTGTCCGAGGCACTTTGAACGTTTCTGCGGCCTTTTTCCTTGACATCCCCTTCCGAACTGCATCCATAGCCTTTTCCAAGTCTTCCACTTTGTAATTCGTGTAGGGTTTTGACCTTAGAGTTTTTTGATACGTGCACACAATTTTTAATCAGTGACTTCCTTTGATAACAAGAAAAAAAAACACCAGAAACAAAAAGATTACCTAACCTCGCTTTTATGACGTTTTGTCCATGTAATCCCGGGGTGGCCAAGTAGCCTCATATTACGATAAGAACATTAAATTTGTTTTGGTTCAAGAGTGTGTAGTTTCTGAGCCAGAGTCTGTGTAGTTTGATTCTGTAGTTAAAATTACTTACACAGCGGATTCGAATATTTTATTCTTTGGTAAATTCGACTTATAGAAGTAAAAGTTGAAGAAATTCCATAGTGGTTGACTTCGAGTTACAGAGAAATTCGAGTTAGGGAAATTTGACTTAGAGAGATAAAAACACATTTGAAACCTAGTCAAACGCTTGAGCTTACGAAAATTATTCGACTTAGAGGATAATTCGAGAAATATAGAAGTTCGAGTTAGGGGAATTTCACTGTAATTCAAAATTGGACAAAATCGTCTGCTAAAGTGATTGGCTTGAATATAAAGGAAAAGAAAATTACCAATCACTCCAATAGATCGACTGCTGTTAGTCAATTGGCCAAAAATGGCATTCAAGAACAAGAGCTCATAAAAATTACGGGTCATAACAATCCCAACTCAATAATACCATATTTAAATATCGATCAAAAACATCATAATAAAATTATTAACAGCATGTGAGGAAATACAACTTCGTCAGTTATAGAAACTAACACGTCTGGATCTTCATTTAACTTTTCTAGTAGCAAAACATGTTCTATCCGAATAACCCTCGAACATCGAACATTAATAAATCCTCAAAAATTTTAGAACAACTTTCTCAAGCGTGTTGGCTACGGCGTCGGTCTGTTTCCAAGCAACACGCTTTCGAAATCTTATAAAATTTTTTCGATTATCAACGTTTTGGGTTATTACTGCTGATAATTAAATGTAATATTATTATATTAATATAATTAATTTAATAAGTTTAACGAAATTTTAAGTAATTTTATATGAGTATTCTAGTTTTAAATAATTCTGAATCTACTAAATAAATACTAATTTATTATGGATTGTGACGCGATTACATCATACGATGTGGTGAGTCAAGGTCGTATATTTTCAGTTAGGCAGGATTTTTAACGGCGCTACACGCCGCTAGTCACAAAATAAAGGCGTGAGTGTGTGTTTTGTTCGTGTTTTCTTGTCCTTGCCGGCATAAAAGTATTAGCAGTTCTCAGGTTTAGTGTAAAAATCGATGTATAACCAGTAAAATTTAAAAATTAATCAAATATCTGTTGATTTATCTCATAATCCCCAATAAATATTGTAACAGTTTCGAAAACTTATCTAGTTTGAGTCGAATCGGGTTCTCATCTTCAATCAATCGTGTTTCGGATATCAGCCGTTTTAGAAGTACTTTTTAAGGAATAAGATAAAAATAGGTATAAATATTTTTATAGTATAAAATGGATAGTCCGGTGATTAACACTGAAAATGGGAAAATTAAGGGATTAAAATTAAAAGATTTTAAAGATAATAGTTATTATAGTTTTTATGGAATTCCCTACGCTAAGCCGCCGGTTGGAGAATTGAGATTTAGGGTAAGAACAACCTTTTTTGTATTTTTTGTTTGTTTTATGTGAATGATCATGAAGCGATTTAATAAAAATAATTCTCATTAATAAATAATTTTGGACTAATATAAAATAAAAAAATAAAAATAAAAATTGGATAAAGCAAATTTATCTTTTTGGTAATGCGATAAAAGAGGATTACTGCATTTGCAAAGATATTGTCATGTTATGATATAAATAATCTTAACATTTAATAAATTGTAGATATAGATAAATTTGATTTATAACCACCAAATAAAATTAATATGAACCAATGAATTTTAATGCAACCAAAAGATTAGTTTTTTTATAATTGAATTGTCTTCAATTTTTATTCCAATGGGTCAACGTTCAAAGGGCGAAAAACTTATAGATTTGGTGATCCAAAGACAATAATAATCCATTTTTAACTAAATCGGCGTCTAAATTTTATTTGAAACTACCTATATCTTAATGTAACCACTTTTACCCTCCATTTAAGCTATAAACACTCTACATAATCAACATTTTTCTTTTCTTTTAAGGCTCCTCAACCTCCTGAGTCATGGGAAGGTATAAGAGATGGTACAAAACAACAAGAAGGTTGTTACGCCCGTCACATGTTAAACTTTAGCATGACTGGTTCTGAAGATTGTTTGTATTTAAACGTTTACACCAGAGAAATTCCTAAAGAAACTGTTTCAAAGCTGAAGCCCGTTATGGTTTGGATACATGGTGGTGCTTTTTCAACGGGAAACGGAAAAACCGAACTTTACGGTCCTGATTTTTTAATGCCTGAAGATATTGTTGTTGTAACACCAAATTACCGTGTTGGTCCATTGGGTTTTATGTGTTTTGAGGATGTTTCTTTAGGAGTGCCCGGAAATGCTGGATTAAAAGATGTTTTGATGGCATTGAAATGGGTTAATAAGAATATTAAGAATTTTGGAGGAGATCCGGAAAATGTAACTTTAGCTGGGGTTAGTTCTGGTGGAGTTATAACACATTGTATGATGTTAACACCTTTAGCGAAAGGATTATTTCATAAAGCAATTATTCAAAGTGCTACTGCAATACACTCATGGACTTTTAGCGCGAAATCTGATGGGAAGAAATTAGCTAAGATTTGTGGATGTGAATCTGAGGATGAGAAAGAAATTTTAGATTTCTTAACAAAACTTCCAGTTAAAGATTTGTTAAAAGGAAGAGATAAAATGAAAAATGTAAAAAATAAACTCATTTTATTTTTAATAAATTAAAAAATAATAATTTTTTAGACAATTTACCCAGATGAAAGAAGAACATTTTCACCTGTTATTGAAACACCAATTCCCAATGAAATGTCTATAATTACAGAAGAACCAATGAAAATTATTTTAAGTGGGGAATACAACAAAGTCCCTATGTTAATGGGTTATGTGTCATCGGAAGGACAATTTTTCGAACCGATTTTAAAAGGAAAAGAGTTTTTGGTACCATCATTTGAAAAAATGGTTCCTCATCCATTAAATTTAACAAAAGGAAGCGATAGGTCTTTATTTACAGCCGATAAAATTAAGAAGTTTTATTTCGGTGATAAAGAATGTACTCAGGAAGAAAAACCGAGTTATTACGAAGTAAGTTTTTCTTAAACAATCACATAAAAATTATATGTTCACATCAATACAATTTTTTTAGATGGTTTCCGATATTTTCTTCGCATACCATTTACAAACGGCATTAAGATTACATTCAAAATCATTAGGACATCCACTCTATTTCTACAAATTTTCAATTGATTTGGGTCTTAATATTTATAAAAAACTTAACCAAGCTGTTTTACCAGGTAAATCATTTTTAATATTTAAATTTTTTAAATTTAACTTATAATTTTAAGGTGCTTGTCATTGTGATGACGTTTGTTACTTATTTAAAATGGACCTTACGCCGGAAATCCAACATGGAAGTAAAGAAGAAATTACCATTCACCGAATGACAAAATTTTGGGCGAATTTTATTAAATCCGCCGATCCAAATCCAAAAGATAACGATCCTTTAATTAAGGTCGAGTGGAAACCGGTTGATAAAGAGCGTTTAAATTATTTGGATATTAATGTTGATTTAACTCCTGGAGTTGCGCCAGATGAGAAACGAATTGCTTTTTGGGATGAAATTTATCAAATGGATTCAGCTTTAAAACATCACAAGATGTAACAAATTGATTACAAAAAGAAACTGTTTCAAAATGAATAAAAACAAGTTTTATCAAATAATCTTTTTTATTTGGATATAGTCTCATTTTTCTTAGTTTAATTAAATTAGATTTAAAATTCTTAGTTTTTTTTTTATTTAAAAACTTCATTCATTTTGTCCTCCAAGAAGCTGAACTATAATACACTACTCTCCAAAATTATCGCACCACCTAAATTATGCATTAAGTTTAAAGGTATTTTTTCTTGAATCAACGGATGGATTTTGATGATTCTTTCTTCACGATATAGGTTGATTTTTAAGGAAGAAATGTGTTGATGGTTTCTGACAATTGTCAACGTTTTACCTATATACGGGGTGTAAAAAGAAATTTATGTTTTTTCTTCTAATTTTGCAACACCCTGTGGAATTTATCAGAAAGAACCGCTACATTCCATTTACATTACGTTAGAATGGCAACCCTTCTCTACATTTTCGTTCAAGCATCATCTCGATATCTCTTTTATCAAGGAAGATACACAAGTTTAAATGTAACGAATTTTTATTAACATTTTAAACAAGTAGGTGAAAACTAAAAAACACTACATAATCCTTAATCCAATGGCGCCAACTACGGGGGGGCTGCGGGGCTTGAGCCCCCCCGGAAAATCGTAAAAGTGTACAATTGTATTACTTATTATTATGTACAATACAATTGTATTGTAATAAGGTGTACATTTGAAAAAGTTCAGCCCCCCCTTAAATATTAAAAAGTCAGCGCCACTGCCTTAATCAATTCTCTCAAAATCACCTAATAACGTGTATTTCCGCCTCTCTTACAGCACTTCTTCACAGCGATGAGGCATACTTAAAATCAAGCGTCGAATTTGATCTTGATCAATTGCATCCCAAACCCCTCTTACCATCCTCTCAACGTCGTCCAAAACGATAGATGGTGGATGTCGGCCCCTTAACTGACGATCAATATTATCCCATAAATTCTCTATTGGATTGAGATCAGGGCTACAGGGTGGCCAGTCCATGGTTTGTATACCAACTTCATCCAAATAGTCACGGACCGTATAGACAACATGAGGTCTTGCATTATCATGCATTAATAAAAAATTATTTCCTATGTAAGGAGCAAAGGGTACCACGTGTTCCGATAAATGTCTGTAATATACCTTTCACCTGTTAATGAACCTCTTCGCAAAGAAAGGTCTGTTCGTGCTGTAAGCGAAATTCCACCCCAAACCATTACAGATCCTCAAATTAAATAAAGTTGTCGGTCGTATGTTGCACTGTGCATAGCGTTCATTGGGCCGTCGAATTACTCTTAAACGTCTATCTGAGCTGTATAAACAAAACCTTGATTCATCTGTGAACAGTACTTGTTCCCAGTCATCAGCATTCCAGTCCATAAATACCATCCATAAATATAAAAAAGTCTACAAACGTATTAACTACGTCAAAAACCACATATTCTACGTTAACTCTTGTTTAAGGGACAACCTTACACCTAATTTCGCCTTAGTTAAAATTGTTAACTCAAAAAATCCATTCTTTAAGAACATCATAAAATGGTATAGATACGTCGACGACATTATATGTGTATGGAATGGAAATAAATTGGATCTTGATAGTATGCTATCTTACATGAACAACATCCACAAGAATCTTAAATTCACCTTAGAGATAGAAAAGGACAACTGCTTAAATTTCCTAGACTTAAAAATACAAAAAATTGACAATAATTTTAAGTTTGACATTTTTAGGAAGCCCTCATCTTTAAATACTGTCATCCCTTATGATTCGTTCCATCCCAACAACTACAAATTAGCTGCTTTCCAGGCTTTTATTGTCAGACTATTGAAATATCCTCTAGACTATACATCCAAACTAAAAGAACTAAATTTTATTAACAGATTAGCAAGAGAAAATGGTTATCCAAGTTGTACCATCGACCAATTACTGTATAAAAACCTCATAAAACTAGACCCTTTATACTCTACGAATAAAAATAACTTTGACAATTATAAGACAATAACATACAACAAAATAAACTGCAAAATTAAAACCATACTACATAGTATGGTATAAACCTATGGTGTATTTGTCAGCTTTAAATGTAAAGGACAACTAGGTGATTCCATTTCTAACTACAAACAAAAAGAAAACGCTATGGATTGTAGTGGTATCTATTCTGTTAAGTGTTGCGATTGTTCTGCTATATATGTTGGTCGGACCGGTCGAAAATTACAAAAAAGACTATGCGAGCATAAAACCAGATGCACTTCGAACATTTTCAAACATAAATTAGAAACAGGCCATAACATTGATTATGACAATGTACAACTCCTACATAAGTGTAAAAAAGGTTTGACAATGAATTTCCTCGAAATGTTCGAAATCGATAAACATAAGCATAATGATAACTATCTTACTTTAAATGACCAACTCGAAAACTATTATAAACCACTATACGCCTTTTTGAAAAAATAATTTCATTTTAAAATTATTTTACTGTGATATTTTTATTCCTTTTTGTAACCAGTTTTAAATTTAGTTCGATGTTGATTTAACAGTCGTTTTTGGAGTTCAATTGTGTACGGTGTTGTGTTTTCTTGTTTAGAATAGTTATTTTCGTGTTTGTTTTAAATAATGTTTTATTTTAACGTAGAAATTTGTTTGTTCAGCGTGATTTTTTAACTATTTGACTGTAAGTTGAGATATATTTATGCAGTTTTATTGTTTTTTATATATTTTTTAAGATCATTATAGTTATTATATCCTTTTGTAGATTTGGCTGATGATGACATCATATGAGGAAAGCGCACCAGTATATAAAAAAAGTAAAGAGCGTATAACAGTGATATGTTGAGCCAACGTATCTGGCGGATAAACTGAAACTGACTGTGATAGGAAAGTCAAAAAATCCACGGGCTTTTAAAAATATGAATACATACACTCTTCCAGTTCATTAACACAACCAACAAGCTGCTTGGATAACTTGTGACATCTTCTCATGATTGGTTTCATAAGAAGTTTATTCCCGAAGTAAAGTCGTATTTGAAGAAGGAAAAGTTGCCTCAAAAGGCCCTTCTTCTTCTGGACAATGCTTGTTCTCATCCCAATGAAGCAATTCTAAGGTGTGCCGATGGAAATTTTTTTGTTCTTTTCTTTCCACCTAATGTTACATCAATTGCACAACCAATGGATTAGGGTGTCATTGAGACAATGAAACGCATTTACCGGAAAGAGTTAATGATGAATTTGTTGGCTGAAGTTGACCTGATGAAATTTTGGAAATCGTTGACGATCAAAGATGCAATTTTCACAGTAGCAAATGCATGGAGTGGAGTGAAAGATACAACTATTAAAAGAGTTTTTTACAATGTAATGACACTGGAGGAAGATGAAAGCATTGTCTTAACATCTGGTGAGGAAAAAACAACTAATTGCATTAGTACAAAACGCCAATGATTTCAAGGGAATCGATGATGAGATCGAAAAATGGGTCAAGGTGATGAAAATGAAACGGGGTAGCTTCTTAACAACGACGATATAGTTGAAGAAGTTTTGGGTCAACCTAGTACAACGCAGCCTTATTCATCCGAAAATGAGAGTGGAGACGAAGAAATTGGTAACTTGGTATTAGTCAAGCGAGTACCGAACCAAGAGGCTGAAGAAGCTGCGAATGTTCTACTAGACTATTTTGAGCAGCAAGAATCTTCGGTCCTTGTTGACATTTTAAACCTGCGTAAAATACGCCAGATAATTAAAAAAAATAGAAAATGTGCAACTCAAACCAAAATTACAGACTTTTTTGAAAGAATAACTTACGGAGAATACATAAATATCTTTTAAGTTATCTTAGTTCAGTTCTGCTTTTATTCTGTTCTGTCATTATGCAAAAAATAAAAATGTGCGTGCCCCTTCCGGTCCCGTGGAGCACGATAGAACAAGAGTACAGTAGAACCCCCATTGTTCTAATGTACTTGATATTGCTATATTCATAACTTGTTTAATAGTTTTATCAATATTTACTTGAAAATGAATCGATTGTTATAAATAATTAAAAAATGCAAAACTGTAAACAATTTGTTAAAGTATTTTTCTGTACTAAAACGTAATGGTGTATATCTGTATACGAAAAGTTGCGTTTTAAATTTGTAACTTAAATTAATTTGTTTGTGATTGGTTTATTGTAGACAGTGGTTTAAAATTTAGGTAGGCTTCTGAAGGATTCGTGTTCCTTTTATGTATTCTAAACTTTCTTGCGTGCTATACCTCAATTTAATTGAGTAAAATTAGTTCTTTTTATGAATCTTGAGGCCGGTTTCACTATTAACTCAAGTGAGTTTAATTCACAATGATTTATTTGGTTATTTCAACAACTAAATTTGTTGTGTCTGTTGAAACCTTGTTAATCAGTTTCAGATGTTGGCTCTGCACCATATATTCTTGATACCCAATATTCATTTTCCTCAACCACTCCTGCATAGGTCTATTGATTTCAGAATAATTTTAAATGATGTTTATTTTATTCAAAAAACTTTAATTTATGACAGAAAAAAGAAGTACAATGAAAATTCATGACAAATGAAAACTAAATACTAACTATTAAGAAAAAAATTAAGATTTTATCACCCATAATAAATTTACACCAGATCTTCCTAGATTTACTTGACCTAACATGCCGTGTTCTTTTTTATTTACGTAATACAAAAATAAAAGGATACTATGGAATAAATTGTTGTATCCCTTAACCAATTCAAAAACTTCTTCTCCTACAATCACTTTATAATGAGGTGGATACTCAGAACATTGTTGAATCGCCAAAGTGTTTGCATTTAAAACCACAGTTTCGTTTAGTTTTATGTAATGATATCCACTAAAACCTTTTACTTCGGGTTGATTTGGCAATGGTTGTAATTGGGTGTCTAAATATGAAGCAAATAAGTGCATCACAATCTAAAAAAAATATTAATAAAATAAAATTTTTCATCAACACCTATTTTTAACATTTAACATACAGCACAATCTGTTGGAAGATTATTATCCCATTCTTTTCCGTTAAAATTACTGCCACTATTCCATTTAAAATCACTCATACAACCACCTTTAGCTAACTCTCTGATTCGTTTAACTAAATATTCTTGATTCGGTGTTAATTCAAGGAACGGAATAACGATTGGTAAAGTTTGAATAAATTGCAAAACCGGCATAGTTTGAGCAGTTTTCCTCAATCTCTCCAAACCAACTTTACCAATTTGAATATCTCCAAATCCGTGTTTTTGTAAACACTCATCGATACTATCAAATTCTTTCACTAAGGTATTTAAAATCGTTTGAGATAACCACTAAAAATGTAATCACACTAAATTAAAAATAAATATTTAAAATTGCTATCTTACAATTCGTAAATTTGCATTCCATTGAGTCAAAACTAAAGAATCAACGTGTAGCCTTCTCCAAGTATCCACTCCTTGGATTGGAGATCCACAGGAAGAATCATCACTTTTCGGACTGTTCGGTGTCGTAGCTACCAACATATTTGCTTCATGTAAAGGTTTTACAATAGCAACATATTTTTGGATTGCAGTTTCGGAATTGGAACCATAGAAATAATTGGGAATTTGAGTTTGATGGAATTTGGTAAAATTTGGAGAGGAAAAACTACCACCTTTAAAAATGTAATCAATCAATTTAAGAAAATATAATTGAATGAATTAAGTTTGCAGTATCGATATTATACACATGTCATAACACAATTTACGTGTGTTACCAAATGTAGCTGCTGCAAATTTTATCGCTGTCCCTAAGTAGCGGATATAGGCGATAAAATCATTATAAACGATGTGTGGAAAAATCCCTGAAACGAGTCTAAAGATTTAAATTTTTTCCGCTATTTTTAACCGAATTATGACGTCATTGATATTTTTTCAATTCCCTTAGTGTCAAAAATTGATTTAGTAAAGTTTCTTTAAGTGGCGCACCATCTTGTTGGATTAACTGCCGTTGGAATTGAGTTGGGTCAACATTATTGGGATGGAAGGAATGACATTGCTTTGAAAAAATTAAAGATCTCTTTCCAGTTAAGGTTTCCTCAAATCTTTTGCGGATATTGGGTGAGCGACTTTCTTGGCTAATTTGTATTTTGGGTAGCCTAATACCGACAATTTTGTCTATTTACTTGTCCACTCAATGTAAATGTCCCTTCGCCGGAAAAATTATGTTTTTGATAAAGTCTTCGTCATCGTTGCAAAATTGTTGTTGCAAAAACTACAATTCATTGCTCTTGAATGTGGTTTACTTTATGGGAGTATATTTTGCGGGTTTTAAAATTTTGTGAACCGTTCATTTACTAATGTCCAAATTATACCCAATACTCCTTAAGGTACGTTTTCGTAAGGTCAAATCCGGCCGACTTGTTGGTCCGACATGTTTGTTGGCCGACATGTTGGAAAAATTGACGGATGTTTACGTAGGTAGCTACTTGTTGGCAACCGACATGTCGTGGAAACGATCTGAAAAATCGAACTCTGCAGTTAGCATCAAGATGGCAGACGATCAAGTAGAACAAGTAATGTCAGCTTTCGTGGTGTTGGCAGGAAGTCTGGCAATAGAGTTATTAAAACTTCAAAAGAATTCAAACCGAAAACGCAAAAGATGGTATATTAGAAGCTTTTTAGCGAAAAGACATTTCGAAGGTGTATATAGCTGCTTAATGACTGATCGTCGCTTGCAAAGTGGATACGAAGAAAACTTCGTTCGTATGTCCCATACGATAAGTTCGATCACAACACAAACTGTTTACGCAGGGACAAATGAACGGCGACCCGACATGTGCGGATGATTTTTGTATCCGACACCGACATGTCGTCCTACTGTCCCGACAAGAAATACATTTCGTTTACATTACAACCGACAAGTCGGCCGACATGATCGAGCAGACTTCGAGTGATACCCATGCTTTTTAAATTTAGTCAGAGCTAGACTCACCATACTTTGGCTATTGAGTTGGCGATCAGGATATGTTGTATTAAAGAGGTCAACTACTTACTAAATCAGTTTTTGACACTTAGGAAATTGGTTAATATAATTGGTTACCATAGTTACTCATGGCTGCTGCTATTTTTATTATGTCAACAAATTTGAACTAGTTAAACTTTAAAGTACTTTTTCTCGAAAACTTTCTTATGTAACCTATTAATATTGACTGTACTAGATTAAAAAAAATCCCCTTTCATACTCCGTAATAAAAATGCGGGATTGTCATTTGAAAAAAATATCGATGACATCATATAACTCGTTTAAAAATAGCGGAAAAAATTTAAATCTTTAGACCCGTTTCAGGGATTTTTCCATAAACTGTTTATAATAATTTTATCGCCTATAGCCGTTACTTTACGGACAACTGTATTCAGGCGTCCCATGTAACTGATTCCTTAGAACTTTTTTAGGTTCTACTATTCGTACAGTTTTGAAATTTTGGTAGTAGGGGTCAATCATCCGAAATATTCGATCTAAAATATATTTAAGAAGGCTGCCACTTCCGGCCTACCGGAACTAGACCAGAACTTACAAGGGATGTGTCGGAACTGCCACTCACCGATTTTGTTGTAATTTGGTACAGCGATAGTATGGGCCAAAATAAGGTTTACGGGCGAGTTATAAGGATTGGAAATCTGGGCGAACGGTATACAGACTGTCTCACGTAACTGGTTCGTTAAAACTTTTTTATGTTCCACTACTCGTAGAGGTTGAAAATTTCGGTAGCAGGGGTTGTCCATTCCGAACTTTCGATCTAAAATATTTTCAAGAAAACTTCGTTATTTTAAATAGACTGCTATAGTTTTTATTACACCGTTTAATTGGACGTAAAAAAATAGGTTGACTTTGATAAAAATTATTGGTACCTAACGGTTTTCGTTTTCGAGTTATTTTGGTTTTAAGCTTTTTTTGCATTACAAAAATTGAATAACCGCTTGTCCATATTCAATGGCGAGAAAGTCGAAAATGTTAAATGGAACTCCCCATATTTTATTACCCTATCAGAAAGGGAATTTAATTCTCTACAAATTATCTATAAACATCCTATGGTCACCTTGAAAATATTTTAGATCGAAAGTTTCGAATGAACAATCCATGCTATCGAAATTTCAAACCTCTACGAGTAGTGCAACCTGAAAAAGTTCTAATGAACCAGTTACGTGAGACAGCTGTATATTCGCATATAACTTGAAGACGAAAGCAGTTATTGAAATGTGGTAAATGTAAACTGATGTTCATTTTTGAAGAGCTTTTCATTGATATATCACACATATATCTGAAGGCTTCAGGGAATAAACTACCCCTACTTTTTTGGATAAATTTAACAAGTACCGTGTCGATTTTGGCGGCATTAACTACCCTTATAGTAACTTAGCGATATTTGTCTCCAGGTTCATCTTTATATTATTATGGTAAAAATATTAATTACGTGTTTTTTCTCATTTGCCACTGGCCATCTCCTACAAAGTTACGTGGTCTAATAGATAACCCCTTTCCTTAAGGATAATGTGATAAATAAAACTGTTACACTTTTGAACAATATATTATAAAGGTTGAGTCAGAAAGAATGGGAAATCCGAATACCGGAGATACTAGACACCAAAATATGATGATTTAAGGTAACATCTTTTATACAAATGTCAGTGGTTTTCGAGGCATAGGGCGTTGAAAGTTAAATTCTTATTTCGAAATTTCTTGATAATTTTGAAGGTTTTTGTACTATTACCATAAAATTTGGTAGTTTTATGTTTTCGAGCATGAGAAATACGAATTTGAAACTTGTTTTGTTGTTGCTCGTAGAGGGCGCTAGATACACGCTACTCGTTTGATAAATCAAATCATAAGTTTTTTGGCTCGGCAGCTACGACCAATAAGAGCTGCAAATCACAAAGAGCATTCAATTTTACATAAAAAATGTACTCTTATTGAAATTGTCTAAGTTTATCGGTTTTCGAATAATTTACTTTTAAATGTTTAAATGTATTTTTTCTTCTAAAATATTTATTTTTTAACATAAGCAAAGTTGGGTTCTTATTCCGTCTATGTTTCGACAATTGCCTGTTAATTGTCAACATTAATTGAATTTCTTGAATTTCCGTGTGCAATAATCATTTTTACCAACAATAAAGTTATTGCCAATTTGAAAATGCCACGACATAATGAGTTTTTTAATAGTGAGAAATCCAGATTTAAGTCCACTGGATTTTTGAAAATGGTCACAATATTCTATTGTTATTAATTAATTGTTATTGTTATCGATTATTATCGTTACTAATTGCTATAGTTACTGTGTTTTATTGATTTTAAATGTTAACCTTACAATTACTTTGAAACAATTAAAAGCAGATAACTTGGAAACTAGTGGACTTAGACAATGTAAGCAAGAGTACCTTTTTTGTGCAGAATTGAAAACTCCTTCAGATTTCTGGTTCTAATTCACCATACCTCAACTGACAAAATAGTCATGACTTGATATCTCAAACGTACAGTGTGTTTCTAGCGCCCACTACGAATAATCACAAAACAAATATCAAATTCGTATTTCTCATGCTCGAAAAAATATAACTACTAAATTTTATGTTAATAATACAAAAACCTTCAAAATTATCAAGAAATTTCGAAATAAAAATTTTACTTTCAACATCCTGTGTATTAAAAACCATCGACATTTGTATAAGACATGTTAGGTTAAATCGTCATATTTTGGTGTTTAGTGTCTCCGTTATTCGGATTTCCCATTCTTTCTGACTCACCCTGTATATTAGCCGATTACTGAATTTTCGCTTTATTTATTTGAGTTTTTAAGAAAACGACAGTTTTTTAAAAAATAAGAGTAAAAAAGGTTTTAGAATTAAATTCCACATGAAATGAAGTACAGTAATACCCCGTAGTTACACGATAGGTGGGACTGACAGTAGCCGCGTAGATCGAAAATCGTGTAAGTCGAAATTCGATAAATACATATTATAAAATCAAGGATTAATAAACATTAATTTTGTTAAAAAAATGTATGTACAGGATGTCCAAGTTTCGATGGGTTTGCAGGGTATCTCATTTATTATGAAAGATAGAAAGTTGCGGTTTTCGCGAACCTGAGCTACTTTTTTGTGAAACTTACAATGCCGCAAACCAAATTTTCATAGACCTCTTCGTTTTTGATATACAGGGAGTATTTCAAAATTTATGATTTTCAGACACCCCCGTATCTCGGCTATCCGGAAACTTAGTAAAAAAGTAAAAACGGGTTCTAATAGATTTTTTCACGTAGAATCCAATGGTGCACGTAGAATTTTTCTAGACATCACGGTTTTTGAGTTATAAACACAATTTAGGTTTTTTTAAATGGAACCACCTATATTTTATTTTTTTATTGAACTAGAATTTTTTCAAGCTTATACTCTATACTTACCTTTATAATTAACCTCGAAATTAAAAAAAACACATTATTTTCTAAGTAGGCTATGATAAATTAAGTGATCACGTTGCTAGGATACCAGAATAAACAAAGAATTTTGAATATATTATATGAAAATCGACTTATTAAGAAAATGTATCTATTAATTTTTGTTTGCAAAAAACGGAAAATTATTAAAAACTAAATATTATGCAAATATGGCTTCAAGTTACAAGAATTGTTAAAAGTTGTTACCATTTTGATGCACATATTGTTCACAAAGTTTAGTAATGCGTTTAACTGCATTTTCGCATTAGCAATTTTCAATTCCAATTTTGTTCGATTATGGGTACTATATACCCGATTCTTGATATATCTCCATAAAAAGAAGTCCAAAATAGATAAATCAGGTGATCTTGCTGGCCATCGTGTTGGACCATGTGTGCCTATCCACCTACCAGGAAATTCTGCAGTTAGGTAGCGACTCACTAACTGCGCATTATGAGCGGAAGCTTCGTCCTGCTGAAAATAACTATTATTTAGCCGAATAAGAGGAATATCATCCAAAATCTCTGGCAAAGCCTCTTGCAAGATGGCCAAATAGCGATTAGCGCAAAGGTTTCCTTCAAATATTTTGTAAACAATTCGTGGCCCAATAATAAAACATGCCACGCTAAAACCAAATTTTCGTTGACGCTCTCGCTCAATTACAATATGTTGGTTTTCTTGATGCCAATGCCTGTTATTATGACGATTATAGATTCCTGTGCTGGTAAAATATGCCTCATCAGATCATATAATAGAGGAACTAAATTCAATATTATTTTGTGCATGGTTCAAATACCAGTTACAGAATTCCAAACGTCGTTCGGCATCTCCCGGGTGTAAGTGGTGAACTATTTGTTCTTTGTAGGGTTTATATTTATACTTTTTTAGAATCGCACAGACTGTCTACACAGACTTCCCTACTTGATGTTTTAGGCGCGGCTTCCACACATCCTAACACGGCAATTTCATTGTTATTCCGATTTTCTTTATTATATTTTTTTGGCCTGGGCATCAAAAAACTTCCATAATTGATCAAATTACGCTTTATTCGCGAAAAAAATTTTGAATTTGGTTGCGCTCTTTCTGGATATCTGAAGTGAAACAATCTGCTAATAAAATGTTATTGCTGATAAATGTTGCATTCTACCTATTTATGTATAATTCAGCAGCTTGATTAACATTTTCATTTGCATGAATGTAACATGCTAGCATGTCATATTTTTCATAATTTTCATAGCGCTCCATTTCAAGAAAAAGATAATTAAGTTAAGTTAATTAAAGGTAATTAAGTAACAGACGACATATTGTTAGCACAAAATTCAAAATTAAGTTTGACAGTAATTAACTATATTTACTTTGTTTATTCCGGTATCCTAGCAACGCGATCACTTAATAGACAACCTAAGCCTTGACGTAACAGAGATGGGCGGAGCTTATATCATTATTATTTATATCATTATTATTATTATATCATTTTCGTAGCTAACAATAAGTGTGTTGCTAACGGTAAATCACCATATGCAATTGTTCAATTAGTGTTAAAATAAAATAAACTAAGTGACTTTTTATATGACATTTCAAATGACATTTTCATTACGGTTTATCATTACTATAGCAACTGTGGTTAGCAATAAAATTGTTTGGAGTCGATATAAGCTCCGCCCATCTCTGTGACGTCAGGCTAGGCAGTCTATTTATCATTGCCTACTTATAAAATAATGTGTTTTATTCAATTTCGAGGTTAACTATAAAGGTATGTATAGATTATTACATTTTATAGATTATTTTATAGATCATTGAAAAGCTCAATTTTATTCTAGTTCAATAAAAAAATAAAATATAGGTTTAAAAAAAATTTAAAAAAACCTAAGTTGTGTTTATAACTCAAAAACCGTGATAACTAGAAAAATTCTAAGCACCATTGGATTCTACGTGAAAAAATCTATTAGAACCCGTTTTTACTTTTATACTAAGTTTCCGGATAACCGAGATACGGGGGTGTCTGAAAATCGTAAATTTTGAAATACTCCCTGTATATCAAAAACGAAGAGGTCTATGAAAATTTGGTTTGCGGCATTATAAGTTTCACAAAAAAGTAGCTCAAGTTCGCGAAAACCGCAAGTTTCTATCTTTCATAATAACTGAGATACCCTGCAAACCCATCGAAATTTGGACACCTGTAGAAGGTGGTACATACATTTGTTCCCAACTTTGAAGGTCTATAACTCATCAGAGGTACAACTTAGTATAGAGGTAAGTTACGTTAAATCATCTTAATTTATTGTCCTCTACATCACCCTGCTCTGTGTCGGTTCTTATGTGAATCACCCTGTCTATTAATTAATTGTCTATTATTAATTAATGAATTGAATGCTGTCGTTCTGACACTTTCCTTGTTAGCTATTTTAAATAGAATGTTATAGTTTTTATTACACCTTTTAATTGTATGCGAAAAAATATGGTAACTTTGATAAAAGTTATTAGTACATGGCGTTTTCATTTTTGAGTTATTTTGAATTTTTTGACAAATTTCACTTATTCAACCAATTGACTCCGAAGCAGCGCGATCGCGCTATTCAGATTTTATGTCGAAAAACATTGAGAAAAAACCACAATCTCATTGAGAAAAAAACCGCGATTGCGCTGCTTGAATACCTGTTCAACAGTGCTTTTCCACTACTCTCTGGGACTCAAACGATTAAATTCGTATTTCTTAGACAATATTCCCTTTCATCTACTTCCAATAGACCGGAAGTGGCGGCCATCTTGAATGTGAATGCTACCAAAATTTCAAAACTGTGGGAATAGTGTAACCTAAAAAAGTTCTAACAAACCAGTTTCATGGAACACCTTTAATTTGGGCGAATAGTGTAAGATCTAATTATTGACATTCTCTTTTACTACCACAAACTTACTTGCTGTAGGTGTTGACAATTGATAATGACATCTTTTCAAAAATGCGGAAACGTCTTTAACGGCTTTTGCAGTTGGATGTGTCCAAAATGAATTTAAAACATTTGTTGTATTTATTTCGTCAGTTCTACTTAAAGTATTCACTTTTTCATGAGCATCAAAATCTTTTAAATAAGTACTTAAACCGTTTTCATCGTTAATAAAGCCAACGTCGGAAGTATTTTGTCTGATTGCTTTTACAGGTGTTTTTGTTGTTGGTGTTTTTGGTGATCCTTGAGCAAACGTCCAAGATGTAGACTGTAAAGATAAATTAGCACTTTCATGCGCAGAATAATTTGACATCCAACTTGTCGCACTTAAATTAATGGGTGTTTGAGATACACTTAAAGGTGTGTTTACATCTCGAATTTGATTTTTTATAGGTGTACCTAAAATTTTAAAATTAAAATAATTGTTCTTTTAATTACTTCTAACTCACCTTGTGGAGAAATTGGTTGTTTAGATAAGTCATTTTTATTTTTATTAAGAATCATATGTATTTTTATATATGTAATTAGATGATAGAGAATATTTAACGATAATATAACCACTCCGACATATTCAATGTATTGGACGTAATTCACATAAACAGGGCTTGTGTTTATTCTAAAACAATAAAAACTTTTAATTTATTAAAAAAGTAATAAAATTTATATTTTCTTACATATCATAAAGTATAATTGATAACAAACAAAAATTTAATGCACCCCATCTAATCGATTGCTGAAGAGTTTTTTGACTGTATCTGTCTAAAACGTTGCTTTCAAACGTTTTAGCATTAATTCCAGCGAAATATTTTCTACCAGGCGTTAGTTGTCTATAAAATTCACATATTTTGCATTTAATTTATTCAAATAAAACGATTTTAAATCTAAATTGAGGTTATGTTTTAACATCTAAAAAATAAATTCACAAATATGATGACTTACGTTTGGTTTAACATATTAGCAAATTTTGTTAATAAATTGGTTTCATTTAATGTAAAGACCGGTATATAATTTTGAATTAAAAAAAATGTAAATAAACGGATAACGGACAAGAATAACGAACTATTCAAACTATTTCACTATTTACATGTCAAACGTCAAACATTCATTTTGTTGCCAAAATAAATTAGTGAAAATACCCTAAAAAATTTTTTCGTTGAATAAATTCTTTGAAAAGAATTCAATTTATTTGAATTAACTTTCATTTATTATTTAATTAAGCAATATATTTGTTTCTCCAATTTTTTTAAATAAAATAATTATGAAGATTGATCTATTACTACTATTCTGGGGATTGATCATACTTGAATGTATCAATTACAAGCTTAAATCTTTTTAAGTTGTCTTTATTATATTTTTCTACATTATATTATTTACATTAAATCATTACACCATTGGATACTTTTTCAATAAACTTGTAACTTGCTTATGAGTTAACTTCTTTTCGCCAGGTGCAATGATACCTTTAGCCTCTCTTTCTTTTAATAACCGTTTATCTTCCATACTAGCTACATAACACTTTTTAAAATTTTCAATTTCCTTTGCACACATAGTTTGATTAAACTCTTTATCTTTAAAACAGGCCAACATAATCGACATTTCGTACAGACAACAAACTTCATTTGCAGTACTTCCTTTCCCTGATACTTTTGATTTCAACTTTAACGGTAATAGTTCTTGGAAGGGTACATCTTTTTGTATTGTAACATTTCTTGCGTATAAAACTGATAGAAACCGCATTTTAATACTTAATTTTGTTGTTTTCAAAAGTGAGGTTATAAATCTTAAGAAAATTTAGTTTTCTATAGAGTTAAGATACTATGAATCAGAGATGTCGCTACACGAATAAAATTTTAAGTTAATGTTATTATTATTTTATTTAAATATGATTTAAATACACTAAATTAGGTTTAATAGACAGCTTGCTTATTTTTCGTTGGAGTATATTTAAAGTAAAAATTAGTTTTAGGATTGTTTATAGATATATAACGTACCTAGTTATACCTTTGTTTATAGAGAATAAACTAATAAACTGCGATGTCCTTTCCTGGTTCGGTCCTAGGAAAGGGGTCTTGGTGCCTCTTTTTTATGTTCGGGATGTTATCGGTCTCGGGCGCCACCTTATGTTTAGAGAGTTAAGGAACTTTTTCGCCTCCAAGTAGCTTTTGGGGGTTACAGTCGCAGATTCAGGGTGTTTGAGAGAGGGTTAAAAAAATAAAAACATGCGGTTCATAAATTAAGAAATAAAATCAAAATTTATTAATAAAAAAAAATCAACATAGGAGTTTACGGAGGAAGGTAAAAAAAATCTTTTTCTTCAAACGTCATTAAATGACAACTTTGTTGTCGTGTTTACTCGCGGTAGAAGTAAGTCATTGTTGCATAACGACGGTTGCTAAGATCAACATAGCAAAAAAGTACTTCAGCGTTATGGCGCTAAAGTAAATTTCACTTTAGCGCCATAACGTTGAAGAACATTTCACTTTAGCGCCGTATTATTTGCAACGTTTGAAGAAAAAATACTATGTTTTATTCGGAAGAGAAGCAGATTCGTTTGTGGCTGGTCCGTCATTGCCGGACTCACTTCGTTCGTCCGGCAAACTGTCGGACACGCCACAATTTTAACGGCTCATCTGTCATTAGCGACTCACTGCGTTCGTCGCTAAGCGACAGACCACGCCATAAAAAGCACTGCTTCTCTTCCATATAAAACAATATACTATTTTCTTCAAACGTCATTAAATGACAACTTTGTTGTCGTGTTTACTCGCGGTAGAAGTAAGTCATTGTTGCATAACGACGGTTGGTAAGATCAACATAGCAAAAAAGTACTTCAGCGTTATGGCGCTAAAGTAAATTTCACTTTAGCGCCATA